GTCTTTCCTCGAGCTGTCCACTATCGGCTGTCGTTTTAAAAGGGCAGGGCGGTCCGCTGGCGCACGTGACCAGGAGGTTCTTCGAGAATACTATAAAAAAAGATGGAACAAAATAAGTCTTTTATAGGAAACGTGTAGTTCAGGTAGATATATAGATAAGATAGATAGAGAGAGGAGGGTGGGAGGAAGAGAGATTAAGAGAGAGGAAGAGAAGTTGAGAGAGAAGAGGAGAGAGAGGAAAGAGAAGAGGGAGGGAGGGAGGGGGAGGGGAGGGGGGAGGGGGAGAGGGAGAGGGAGAGGGGAGAGAGGAGAGGAGAGAGAGGAGAGAGAGAGAGAGAGAGAGAGAGAGAGAGAGAGAGAGAGAGAGAGAGAGAGAGAGAGAGAGAGAGAGAGAGAGAGAGAAGAGAGAGAGAGAGAGAGAGAGAGAGAGAGAGAGAGAGAGAGAGAGAGAGAGAGAGAGAGAGAGAGAGAGAGAGAGAAGGAGAGAAGAGAGAGAGAGAGAGAGAGAGAGGAGAGGGAGTGAGAGAGAGGGGGGGGAGGGAGAGAAGGGAAGAAGGGGAGAGGGAGAAAGGAGGGAGTGTTGTGGAAGCAGAGGCCGGGAAGGCTCTCCGTAGGGTCAGATGGGTACTATGACCCGGCAGGTGAAACCTCGCCAGTCGAACGGACGGACACGCCTGCCCTACACACCCTCGACGCGACGGAGAGAGGTGGTTTTCTACAGTCCCCTCGCTATCTAGGGTCCCATGAAGTGCAAATAAATACCGACACTGTCTAAAGAGCGAAGGGGAAGAATAAAAGTGATTCCCAAAGGTGTGGTGTACGAGCCGAGCGCGGAGGATGGCCGAGACGACAACGCGAAAGTAATGGTGATGGTGGGGGGGGGGGGGGGAGAGCCAACGAGGATTTCGACGATCCCACGGAAGTCGAGAACGACAAGGAATCTGCAAGAGGTTTTCGTGACTGAAGCCTTGGGTACATTCTCGAAGGTTAAAATTTTGGATAATTAACGACAGTGGTAACGATAAAGACGAATGAGATCCCGTATTACTTCCCACTAAAGTGCATATAGTCACTGAACGTTCAGAGAGGCACGGGTCTTGACAACCTACTTCAGCCTAGCCGTTACGTCCCCTTGAAGGATCAGCCTCAGACCTATTTCTAGCAGAGCGCCTCGACCTCCCAAGCCAGAAGTCACGTCGACAGTGTACTCCCCGAGTAATAAACAAAGCCCCTATATGTCCACGGAGTCATGCGAGTATCTCCTTGTCGGCAACACTACCGTAGCTATCTAGCTTGCTTACACGACATACAGTTCGCAAATAAACAGAAGGAGCGGGCTATCTTCAACCCCTCAAGGCTCGACCCTCAACCCCGCGCAACCATCCAAGTAGGAAGCCGCTATCAAGAGCGTGACAAGATGGCAGATCGCGAAGGTCAGGTAGCTGGCGAGGCGATGAAACGGAGTGGGGCTCCCGAGGGACGAACAAGCGACTAGGGGAGGAATTTAAAGGGGAGAGGAGGTGCACCGAATGAGAGGGGAGAGGGAGAGGGAGGGAGGAAAGTGTGAGTGTGAGATAGAGAGAGTGAGTGAAAGAGAGATAGAGAGAACGAGAGCGAGAGAGAGGGAGGGAGAAAGAGAGAGAGAGAGAGAGGAGAGGGGGAGAGAGAGAGAGAGAGAGAGGGGGGAGAGAGAGAGAAGAGAGAGAGGGGGGAGAGAGAGAGAGGGGGGAGAGAGAGAGAGAGAGAGAGAGAGAGAGAGAGAGAGAGAGAGAGAGAGAGAGAGAGAGAGAGAGAGAGAGAGAGAGAGAGAAGAGAGAGAGAGGAGAGGAGAGGAGGGAGAGAGAGAGAGAGAGAGAGAGAGAGAGAGAGAGAGAGAGAGAGAGAGAGAGAGAGAGAGAGAGAGAGAGAGAGAGAGAGAGAGAGAGAGAGTCGTGTTACGGCTTAACCATTCGAAAGAACGCCTTACCCCCCCCCCCCCCCCCCTCCTCTCCCCTGACTGTTTGTCAGAGGGCGTCGCGTCCCGCTGCGAGAAGAGACAAAAGTGCCGATGAATAATTCACAGCTCACATCATAGTGAGGCGAAAGATCACGGACTCGATAACCTTCGCTTCCAGGAGGATAACAGTAATACTCGTCACAAAAATAATAGTAATAATAAAAAAGAACAATAGCTAGAAGCACTCAGAGATCGCATACCTCCTCCAAGGCAATAGTGTCACTGATTTAATAAAAATTCAAACTTGAAGAATTACATTAATATCACCTCTCTCAAATACACTGGTGACCAAGGTCTGGTGACGCCCGTGTTTCCCAATCTCGCAATGCTAATGAATCCTCTAAAAAAAAAAGAAAGAAAGAAAAAGAAAAAAAGAAAACTGGATCCGGATCACCAACAAAATTTAATGTCATGCAAGTTGGGCTAAGACATACACGAGGTAAAAATTCATAAAAATTTGTTCTTAACTTTTTGCGTTATCCTACTAACCATCTAACCAAATAACCAACGCTACCAAAAACATAACCTCCTTGGCGGAGGTAATTATAAGAGGAAGAACGGAGGTGAGGTGAGTGAGTGAGTAAGAATGAGTAAAGTAAGTAAGTGTGCGTTAGTGACATAGAGAGAGAGAGAGGGGAGAAATCGCGTCCTTGGCGCGCGCGGGCCTAGCTCGGCACTTGACGACCGGCTTCGGAAGAAAAGCTAGATCGGCTCCCGGCGGCATCTCGTGCGCTCGGCTGTGGCAGCATAAATACCCCGTCAGCCTTGAAGGGTCCTCCTCCCCCCTCCTCCCGCTCCCGCCTCCGTAATTACCAACACCGCATCACCATCAGACTCACTGAAACAGATTGCCGCGGCAGCGCATCACCATTATCCGTGCTCATACCTGCCTGCACCTCTCACACCTGCACCTCCGCCTTAGCAGGCATATTGGCATTAGCGGCCAATATGCTCTACGCGCCTTTGTCCTGCGCTATCGACCAATCCTCTTTTTCGCCAATGCTATCACCCGCTACGCCGGCCGCCGGAGCCCCCATCCCACCCCCTCCACACACACACCTAGTTAAGGACTGCAAGGACGAGTCCCGTTCGGCCGAAAGGATTCCTCTCCGAGAATAGTAGTCCCCGTGTCCTTCGCAGCGCCCGTTATTCCACGCTACACTACTTCCTCTTTATCCCGCTTAAGCCGTCGTCCACAGCTCGTATCATTATCTCACACAATTTCCCGTTTTATCCTTCTGACACCGCGCAGTCGAGGCCGAGGCCCCTCACGGCCCTTCACCAGTAAGGCCGTGGGTGAGGACGGCGAGGACGGCGAAGGCGGCGAAGACAAGGGCGAAGGCCGAGAGGCCGCCAATGATGAATGGCCGCCATTAAACCGGGAACAACTTACTGCCTGGATGAGGCCTCCTTCATCCATCACCGCCCTTTGCCCCCCCCCCTTACTCCTCTGAAGTTACGGCTTCACGTCTACACTTATTGCTGTGTGTGTGTGTGTGTGTGTGTGTGTGTGTGTGTGTGTGTGTGTGTGTGTTGTGTGTGTGTGTGTGTGTGTGTGTGTGTGTGTGTGTGTGTGTGTGTGTGAGAGAGAGAGAGAGAGAGAGAGAGAGAGAGAGAGAGAGAGAGAGAGAGAGAGAGAGAGAGAGAGAGAGAGAGAGAGCGAGAGAGAGAGCGAGAGAGAGAGAGAGAGAGAGAGAGAGAGAGAGAGAGAGAGAGAGAGTGAGAGAGTGAGTGAGTGAGTGAGTGAGTGAGTGAGTGAGTGAGTGAGTGTGTGTGTGTGTGTGTGTGTGTGTGTGTGTGAGAGAGAGAGAGAGAGAGAGAGAGAGAGAGAGAGAGAGAGAGAGAGAGAGAGAGAGAGAGAGAGAGAGAGAGAGAGAGAGAGAGAGAGAGAGAGAGAGAGAGAGAGAGAGAAATGCGTGCGTGCAAAATGCTCTCGACCACTTCCGTCGTGCTGATTATGAGCACCTAAGCAAACGTGCGTGGATTCGATCGCCATACGCAGGGCTCGGTAACAAAAGCCAAGGCTGAATCAATCCTCTATTGAATATCAACACAAGTGAAATATAGTCATACAGTGATAGGAAATTATCCTTATCAACCCGTATCCAAAATCCCTCAACCCATTTCCTGTAAGCAGCCGAGGCGGGGCTTGCATAAGAGCGGTGAAAAGACACAACATGTTCAGATGAAATAAGCTTCAAGGACGCGTGTACACTTTCAGCAACAATGGAGATCAGTAAAGAAATAAAATCCGTGTGATAACTGGGACAAAGGTTCCTCAACTCATCCATAAGCAATGAAAGGTCTTCCAGTGATGACAATACCAACGCTGATCTTGCTAAGCGTACCGTCGAATCCCGATGAACTTGGCTGTTGATCACTGCGACGATTCAAATGTTGGTCGCATCGAAGGGGAGATCGTGATCGTTGTGCATAATATACAGCATACATTTGCACTCTGAACCAAGGTCT